AATCTACAGGATGTGAGAGGACCTACAGATATTCAGGGAAAAACTAATACCTAGAAGAGAGAATTTGATTTATTCCCCATCGCAGTACCGCCAGTATTACAGGTATCATGGGACTGATTCAGTTTAGTCAAGTCTTGATCGCATCTGAAACTGAAAGCAACAACGTAGCATTTAGATGGATTCACGAAACACGCAATCGAATATAATTATTCGCATAAGCTGATTACTGCACCCTCCCTTAAGGTATGTGTTTCTAATCTCTCGTCTTGTTTTGTGTGAAATTAATGACCGTCTCTTCAAAATAAGGCAAACGCATGGCATATCTATGTTTAGAAGTAGCACCACCTTCATCTGGTGAATATTATATTTTGAACCTACTGCCTTCTTTAATCCATCACTTTGCGCAAATATCAGCATCGAACAAAATTTTATGATAAAGGTGCGGTAAATGTGACGCATTTCAACTGTTTATTGCCTCTGGTAATGTGTACACAATGAAAATATTTTCAATGCGAAGTTTAATTAGGAAAGCACACAAAAGTGCCACTTGTCATTAAAAGTCTTGTTCCAGTGGTTGTCCATATCTAGACATGTTCTGTGACCTGATTTCTTTTGGGCTCTACAACTGTAAACTTTTTCAGCGTTTTCTGCGTTGCTGTTAAGTTGGTTGTCACAGTCATATTAGTTGGATAGCTAATTGTTCACTTGTTATTACCCTGCACCGTTCCACAGCGTTAATTCTCTGTTATTCAGTGGTGTGCCTTAACAGAATATTTTCGTCAATAAAAAAGAGTCAGAAACATCTTAATCAAGCAATCAGAACATATTTTCATATTTGGATGATTATCCGGAACTCAGAATACTTTTTATGATAACTAACTTGACTTCAATTCAAGCATTATCAAAGATCAGATTATTGTTAACGGTGATCACAGCTCCACATTTTAATCGAAAATGGAGGTGTGGTAATACGTTGTTTTTATACAGAAGTTCTGTAGGTTAACTAAGCGTGGTAAATGCGAATTCTCAAGGTCACTCAAGGAGGTAGAATAATAGGTTGCCGGAAAATTTCATGTTTGCTTAAGATTTTAATATTATCTATCTTGTTAGGCCACTGCGTTTGCTTTGTTTTAAATTTAGAAATGTGGTCATATCATTTTTAGGGGATAGATTAAGGAGATATTTATATATGATATATATGGTGTACTGTATCTTTTATAACAATCATTTTTGACCCATGTGACTAAAAGGTTGCATGGCAGCGCATGTTTTCTTGGAACTTCTAGTCACGTTGGAAGTGTTTGCGGAAGGAAAAATCTTCATATTTTTTATGTGATTGATTTTTTTTTGATTTACAGCTTGATACCACACTGTATTTTTGGTACAAGTATGGAATTTTCAGCATGGATATCGGTAGCCCAAATTTCGCAGGCCGACCATAGATATCAGGTGTGCGCCGGTGTGGGCTCGAACCCCGGACCATGTGCATGGTCGGCGAGAGTCCTAACCACTGTGCCACCGACGCACAAATCAAAGTTCGATGGAGGATAAAAGTGGAGGAAGAATGGTTAAGTGCTGGTTAGAATGCGCATATTTCGGGCAAACAGTGAGAATAATAATTTTACAGTCAAGTCCTGGCGAAATAACTATCTAAATGAGAAACTCTTGCCTAAATAATGGTTAAAGTGAAATGCAGTGGTCGTATATTTTAAAATGCTGGCGACGTTCTCATAATATATTGGTTGGGTTATAGGAAGTTAATGTTTCAACAGTGATAAAGTAATGGTTAAGTAATAGTCAGGGATGCAAAATATTGCTCGAATTTGAACTAAAATAGAGATATTTATATCATGCAACCAAAATTGGCCTATTTTTGCTTACTGGTGGGCGCGATCATTAATCACCAATTCTTTTGCCACTTTTTGTCCGACTGGGTCGCATGTTTGCATGAATGGTTTTTCTATCAAAATATTGTATATGTATGATTATTTCGGCAGTTCACTGTCGACAAACCATGGTTTGTCTCAGTAATCTGAAGTTAAATTCGGGGACCAGTGAATTTATAAAGTCTGTCAGATTTACTTTTTAAGTGTAATTGTAGGAAGCATTTACTCTCCATATCTCATAAATGTTTTAGACAGCTCCCTGTTAGAGAATGCACATACGTCAACTGTTAATAATATGGTCTAAATAGACGATTTGTAGTCGGATGAGTAGATCGCAGCACAAAACTCCACTTTCCGCATGTTTACCGACTTTTTCCTGTTTATCTCACGTTATTACCCACTCTTCCTTATGTTTTCAACAATTAATTACCTACTTATCACCCTAAACTCCGTGTTTTGAGCGTTTTCTCTCTCTCGCTACTCACTTGCTCACTTTTCTCCCACTTTACCCATGTTCATGAAAAATTCTTCAATTGTGCTGTCAGTCTTAAACGCATCGAAGCAGACGAGTATGTTTTACATGGGGAATTAGCAATGTCAAATCTTTGCTTGGTTCTTTTTTATTAAAGGTAATACTTCAATGCATATTAATCTTCTGAGTTGTATGTATCCCATCTTTATTTATTTAAACGCATAAAATCTTGGTACAATATGGCACCAAGAAGGATGCGCCACACAGTGATAATAAAACAACATAGATCAAAAGAAAAAAAGAAGAGAAAAAAATATATATATAAGTAGAGAACGGATAAATAACTTCATCCGGAAGGAAAACAGTCATGCTTAACTAGTTCAAACAGTATTCGTTAACTATCATCGGGAAGGGAAGAAAGGAGGAAATTGCAACACGTGTAATAGCACGCGATAAGTTTCATTGATTGTTTGTTGCTTCATTCAATTCATTGTGTGAGGGCTGAGATACTGACCGGGCGCCCAGACCGAAGCAAGTGGTTTTATTAAGGGACCACCCCCAGAGCCTTTGACTTGGAATCTAATCCGCAAGGCAGCGGATCAGCGTCAGGAGCTGCATTCCCATGGTTTTCGGTGACCCATATGGGTCCATACGCCATTTGATCCGATTGGATTCTAGAGCCCATTTACCCCATGGTAACTGCTTTTAGTTTAACCGCTATCCAAACAACCTTCCTGACATGGTAGGACCTGCTGGGACAGAGTCCCAGTCAGTTTAGCCTGTTGGGTCATTACGGTATTTAAGCCCGACCACCACGGCAAGGTAGCAGTTATCGGCCGGATAGATCCCATCTTAGGAAAAAAATGTTTTTTTGCGCATCAGTATATCAGTTTCAATGTGGCCACAACTCGAGACACTATACTTAACAGAAAAGGATATGAAAGTAATGTTACGTCGGTAAATTGTGTGTAATGGAGAGTTATTGAATTACGAAAATAAGTGAAAGCATCTGGTAACCCAGAATAGCTAGAGATTATAAAACATCTGTGGCATTATGCACTTTTTTCGGCTATTTCGCCACAAGGTTTCAGCCTGGCCACCTACATAGGTCTGTATAGTTCATACTTACGTTTGACTACTCCAAATTACATGGCGGTCTAATTCTGCTGCATTCTTTGTTTCTCGACAAGTGTGAAACAAAACTCAATCGTCTCACATTTTGATGGACCACAATTCCATCTATGAACTTATGTACACTGCCTGACACTACACCTAATCTCGTTGTGGCTCACCAAGTGGTTCTATTCAATGGATTCAGCCGTGTAGACACCTATGGCTAGATGTTTAGTCTTGCCATGCCATTTGCTACAAGGGCTATGCTGCACAGAATTGAAATAAGACGAAGTCAACCGTTGCATGGTAAATGTGCCATTCGCTTAGCAGTCAAATGTCTTTTGTCAGAGAAATGGTGAACCCCAAACGAGCTTTCCGCTTTAGTGCTGAGATTATTTCAGCTACATGTCCGTGAAGACTGATGCAGCTTCATGAATGAATGAACGAAGTAATCAACATATCCAGACAGTTCACTCGTAATGCTTAACCAGTTCTTATATTGATCTTGCATTTGGCAGTAAAAAGGTGTATACCATACATATTCAAACGTTTATGAGGATGTTAGGGAGACTATTTTTCACCGTCTTCACTTGTGAAATTCTAACCTTTTCTATTTTCTATGCCACTCAGCGTTTTCTCTGTCTTAAAGTCAATTCTTTAGACGTCAAAATCAAGTAAATCCACTTTCACTTTGTCTACAATAAAACTAGTCATTAATAAGGAGATTAGGTATCTCTGTTCACCACAGTTTCACATGGAGACCAAAAGTATTCAGATCATATATTGATCTGATGTATACCTTAAAGCGTCAGCCGCGTGTAGTTTTTACTGGAAGATGCATATAGTAAGCTTTAAAGATTCTTTTTAACAGTGTCTATGGTAAAAGTCAACAAAGCAATGAGAGATGATTTCAAAGGAAATAAGTAGGTATGGTCTTATTGTGTTTTGAAATCACGGTCCCTCTATGTTTGATTTTTGATCCAATTTACTCAAAATAAAGAACTTTTTAGAAGCCAGTAGAAGTCATATTGCTAATTATCATCAGCCCCATTGCTATTGGCATTATATTTCGGTGATTATTTAGCAGCTACTGTTATACAGTAATTAGGAAATATTCTTAACACGATGCTCAAACACTAGTTGTTACATGTGGATTAAATAATCGGTGCATGACACTTCACTGCTGTATCATACATAGACGATTCCTCTGGAATGGGTGTTGTTAAGTACTCGTCTTCGCTTCAAGTGGCCTTCTCTTCGACTTCAAATAGGTTTCAGATACCTTCCGCATGTTGCTTTAAATTAGTTAGATGCGTTATATTTACCTTGATTGTGTTATATTGCTTTATTCATAAGAATTTTCAACCAATTTAGAAAGCTCTAAAGCCTAAATTGAATTCGATTATTTCAATTGTCATCTCATACTTGTTTCTTTCGCATACGACTGACTGCATTATCCTTTCATTTTAGATCTTGTACTCGACTTAAACAGCAAAATGGTGCATTCTCTCTCTAGGAGATGACATAATATGTTCTGGAATCGTTTAAGGTAACATCCTTTTTCTAAAGTGTGCTTGTTTACACAGCTTTTTTAAAAGAAAAACTGACAATTTAATTGAATGTGTTGCTGTTTTCAATGTGAATAATACAACTGGAGGTTAGTTAATAATAAGTAATAATATTGGCTTCTTGTATGTATGCAAAACTCTAGATCCTGTGCTTGAGTATGTTTATCCCTACGCGTATAATGAAGATTTTCACCTGAATAAACTTCACAATTTTGTTCTCCCTTGCAGACATAAAAGGTAAGTTATTATTGCGTATCTTCTCATTTTTTACTGATTACAGTCTTATTTCAGAAGAATATACCCTGATATTCACAGACGCCAATGGGAATTTAGAATTCTTCTTGTGTATCTTCCTTCCTATTTCCAAGTATATTGTATGCGTTAGCAGGTAATGAAATCGGTATATATGATGTCATTCCATTATGTGTAAACTTTGTTTTGATAAAGTCTCACAGTGTTATACAGTAATGTTTACTGATGACCATGTTTCGAGCACAATTTATTGCTGCTCATAATCATATCAAGGTACTCATATGGCTTCCTAACTTCATTTATATAGTTTCATTATTTTTCATTTGATTTTCACTTGATTTGATTGGTAATAGTATTTTCCATATTTCGGGTATGAGTGATGAATCATTCCTATTGCATGTGTTTGGTGTAGACTCGATGAACAAGGATTCAGTAATCAACCTCTCTCTCCACTTACCTAGATTACTTTTTAGAATTTTAACCCTCTCCCACCCGATTGTGTGGTTGTGTGTTAATGCATGCATTGCAATTGCTGAGCTTTTTTCTAAATTGCTTATCTTTTCAGGGTCAACCATTCTTACCTTAGCTAAATTTTTATGTTCTGACAATCTGACTACCCCTGACCTACTAGTTTGACCTATGTAGTTGACCTAACTCACAGTCATTGCAAGGTATTTTGTAAATAATATTGTTTTGTCTAATTGAGTCAACTGACAGGGTCCTTTAACCTACAGAGCTTGTCCTGCCTGAGTGAGTTTGTAGGTTTGAATGCCACCCTAATTCCTGCTTTATTTAGAAGCCTACGTAGTGTCTCAGATGTCCCCTCTTTTTATGGTTTAACTGTAGACGTTATTATTAATAGTTTCACAATTATTTTTATTTTTCCTTTGGCCTTTAATGATCTTCCGAATGAATTTTATAGGATAGTTATTCAACACCGACGCTTCTTTTATCTGTTTTATTTCATCATTTAGGTCTTTTTTTGTGCTCCTTAGTGCCGCTGCTCGGTTTGTTAAACACTTAAATAAGTCTGCCTTAACAGTTAACGGATGAGACGAATTAAATTCTAAATATCTATTAGCAGAATGCGTTGGTTTTCTATAAACACTAGTGTGTAGTTTGCCTTCTTCTATTCTATTTATCTTACAATCTAACATAGCTATTTGTCCTTGTTCATTTTCTGATTCAAATGTGAATTTTTATTCCCTCTACTAGTGAGTTTATATGTGTCAAGTGTTTTAACACTGTGAAGGTGTCATCCACATATCCACCATATTTATGAAGTAGGATTAACTGTATTGAGGGCACCATTTTCCCAGCTGTCTATAAATATGTCTGCTACAATAGGGGATATTGGTGATCCCATTGCTACACCTTCTGTTTGTCTATATCATCATCATCATCATACCTCATCACTCATACCTAAAATATGGAAAATACTATTACCAATCAAGTGGAACTATATAAATGAAGTTAAGAAGTCGTGTGAGTACCTTGATATGATTATGAGCAGCAATAGATTGTGTTCGAAACGCCGTCATCAGTAAACATTACTGTATAACAACACTGTGAGACTTTATCAAAACAATAAATTTATCCACAATGGAATTACTCTCTACCACAGTGCACAAGTTTTTTATTCTTATATATGATGTCAATTTTGCTTCTTTTTTTTAGCTGTCTACCTTATTTTGAACTTTTACATTCCCTAATCACATTAATCAATCAAGAGCATTTATACTTAACAAAGAATAGACAAAGCATTGAAGTTATCCTGAGACGATTACATCAACATTGTGGTGAAGCTGTCCTAGATTTATCTTTCCTGTCATCGCCAACACCGCCAACATCATCATCAGCTCGGAATACAATAGTATGTGCAAGCATTTGCTAACTTAACTCTTTCTTTTTATTTTGTTGTTGAATAGAAATCGAGTATCCTGTTACCAGATGCACAAACTCAGTTCTTCTACGATGTAACTTATTGATTCCCTATTTCGTTATCTGTTATCACATTCCTTTGTAGCGGCACATTTTAGAGTATTACAATACATTATCTATTGGTAATTGGATTGTAATATTTGAGAGGTGAGTTTCTGTTAGTCGAGAAAAACAACAGTACTTTCCTTTTTTTATCTAATATAGTTTACTTTTAGAAAAGAGTGTAATCTTCTATTCGAGTCGATTACAACGTGTCACTTCCTGTCTGCTGGCGAGTTTAAGCCTTCTCTATCCTCTTATATGGTATTTATTGATTCCCCTTGTATAATAGTCAATTAAAATTAATATTTTTTTTTAAATCATGTGTAGGCCTCATTAATCTATACTCTACTCCCGCCTGATTGCATCGATTATGTTGGGTAAGTTTTTTGAATTGCCTACTCATTTCCTTTTCTTTCTTTCTTTTCTTCCTCCTCTTCTGAAGCTGTCCAACTCCCTTTGTTGCTGGTGTTCATTCATGTTTGACAGAGGTTTGTCTCGATTGTATGTATAAAGATACCTTATCATTATCATTATTTATCATGCTTTTCTCCTTCTCTATCTTCTTGTTTTTTTCTGCGTGTGTGTGTGTATCTAGAGGATGAAACCGTTATTAGTACCTGGAGTTCGAGTTGTCGATTTGGATCATGATATTGTCTATGGGACTGGAGATTTAGGGCTGTCTATGCCATCTGTTCTAGTGAGTCACCTTAATATACTACAATTTGGTTTGATTATCATTTATGTATTTATTATTTTTTTAAATTATAAAATAAAGTCAATCAAACTTTCGACATATATAATGAATGGCAGATTTCAAAGTCACTTTGAAGGCAATTACTCTTTATTATTATTATTATTGTTCTCTTGGCTTCCTAGTGGAACATAGGGCTTCAACTGCACGTCTCCACTTGCTTCTGTCTTCCTTCTGCTGTACTTTTCACCTGAATCCATGTTAGTCCATACTCTTTCAACTCTTCTCTCTTCACACGATCTCCTCCATATCACCCTTGCACTGATGTCCCACTCGCCGCTTCCCTTTCGGTCTGGTTCCACTCGAGCAATGGCCTGACGCGCGCGCGTGATGTCACCCAGTGGTCTCCTCAGCGAGTGAGTGTCCAATCCACCTCCACTTTCTCCTGCATATTTGTTGGCTGGCGATTGGTTCTTGTTTTGTTTGTTTGTTCCCATAGTTTCTTGTTGGTGATTCTTTCCAGCCCAACCATCTGATCTTCAGTATAGAGCCAGCGAAGACAGTTGTTGTTGATAAAGGTCTGCAACAGGCTGTTGGAAATATTCTCTGTGACCCACCCGCCAAGTTACTGATCCGTTCCGTATAGAAGAACTGACTGACTTGACGTTTGTATTGAAAATCCGACCGAATTTTGTTGTTGATGATGAGTGACGAAGATTTCCAGATTGGTTGTTTCAGATTGATGAATGTGTTTTCACTCGCCTTCCCGATTCTCGCTCGATTTGACATCCTCGTCCGTTCCTACTGGCTGTAGTTGAGACAATGCTCCCTAGATAAGTGAATGAAGTAACCCCTTTCAAATCCCTCCCGTTGATGGTGATTGGCGCTGGATGTTGCTGCTGTTGTTGTTGTTGGTTGGTTGGTTATTTTCATAACCTCTGTCTTGTCTATGTTCACCTGGAGTCCTGTCTTCACTGTCTGCTTCTTCGACCAGTTTGTCAGTTTTCGCCTGCAAGTCTCCGATTTTTGTGTGACATCAAACATAAATCATCCACGCGCGAAATCCAGGTCTTCTAGGTTCTTCACTTCGGTCCAGGATATCCCTGTCTGACGCCTAATCCAGTCAGTCCACCACAATTAGGAATATCATTGTTGATAGACAATAAGCATCCTTGTCTGACTCCTGTGTTTACTCCAAACGCCTCGCTGAGTTTTCCGTTGTGGATCACTTGACATGTGCCGTTGTCGTACAGTTGTTGAATAAGGTTGATGAATATTTGGGGTACGCCGTAGTACTCGAGTAGTTTCCGAATTACTTCGCGGTCAACGCTGTCTGTCGAATGCCTTCTCAAAGTCTATAAAGTTGAGGTAGAGGTTTGATTGCCATTCCATGCTTTGTTCTGTGATGATGATGCGTAGAGTTGCAATTTGGTCAGAACATGATTTGCCTTTCCTGAATCCAGCTTGTTCTGGTCGGAGTTCTGTCTCCAGTGCGTCCTTTAATCTCTCCAGGATGATGCGACTCAATCAATGGCTGTCTTATTGAATTAAGCTACAAATATACACTTAGTGTTTGATGTCAATAGAAAAGATTAAATTTGTTTTAAATGCTTTATTGAAACACTGAGCATCTGTACATACTCGCAGTTTTAAAACAGGGATTAGGAAGTTGCTATGGCTTAAAGTTAGAATGCTCGCCAACCACACCATATATGGTCCCGGTTTCGATCCCGGCTGACCTCACTAAGCTGGTAATAAGACCGGTAAAGAGGGAGGGTTGGGCATGAGGCTAGCAACCCTACCCTGTACAAATAAACACCATTGCTACCGAGACTTCGAAGCTCTATCTTGAAACCCAACGTTCCACTGGCAACGTAAAGGAATAAAATAAAATAATAAAAATAAATTAGGTAGTTGAGTATGTTTACTGCTCATACCAACGAATTCATTCACCCGATTTTGACGTTTTTATCACTAAGTTACAGATTCTTATTCAATTAGGGATATTTAGGTACCACATACTGTTATTAGATATTACACAATGTATTTAATAACTTCGGTACATTTAATATACCTAGTTGATGAGTGGTCTTCTGTCGTGTGCTGCTGACAAGAATTTACAAGTAATACAATAATAATAACAATCTGCTTTATTCCAAATACAGTATTTATAAAACAGAATGGAATTCTCAACATTTGTCACAACATTTCATCTGGTTCGCTCTGCTATTTAGACTTAAAAGTTTAAAGGTTGAAGCCCTATGTTTCACTCGGAACAGAAAAAAAATGTGAAAAAGTTATTTTTAGAATTTCAATTTTCTTATCACCTTTTTGTAAGTTATCTCCATGAGCTTTCTAGGCCGTTTATGATATCTAATGTATATTTTGTCTGCTTAAAAAACCTATTACCAACTTGATGATGGAGAAGTTTCTTAAGGAAATCACTTGATGTACAGTTGTTTCGTCCTAGTTTGGGAGTTTTCATCAGTAACCACTCACCGAGGTTCGAACTCAGGACTTTGCAGTTATAAGGCGAGCTCGTAGACCATTCAACCACTGGGACCCAATACAATGACCAGCCAATGAATTGCAGTTTCTGACAATTCTAAATCCCAAATTGGGTAGAAGTTGGAATTAAGCAGCCATTCTATCGGGTCCCAATAGCTGGATGGTATACGAGCCTGCCTTGCAGCCTCAGTGGGTGCGTAGTGCCGATGATTCCCAAACTAGGATCAAACAGCTATCCAATACTCCCTGCTTGTTTTCAATGGTTCTCTAACTGATATCAATCCGTGATCAACTCGTAAAAACTAAACTAACCCTTACAAACCAAACTATAGAAAATTCCTGATATATATATATATATATATATATATATATTGCGCAACCACCAGCCGACGTCTTAGGCGAGTAACTGTTCTGTTACCTGGCTTAGTGGACCCCGCTGGTTACCATTTCTCAGTAGAACTCCAGGTAACTTCTTGTATAGAACCAGTCGATAGTGAGCGTCAAATTAATTGTCAAGTGCTGGCTTTCAGGGATTTGATTGGTTACAGGAGGGTCTTGGATTGGAATCCCAGTGGATGAGAACTGTGAAGAGTTCCAAAGCAGGACGAAATAGCAGTCTACTACTCCAAGATTTTCCAGTGGTTCACTGACTGATGTCAACTTGCAACCGATTCTGTAATAGGCCAAATCCAATCCCTGCATACCAACACTTTAGAATACTATTTATCATACGGAATATTGAAGCTTCTTTGTACAACTCTTTAAATGTATTCGTCAACAGTAATTAATTTGCACTATGCATTTGGATTTGGGTTTTCTTAATTTTTATTCTTTGCTTTTCAGCGTCATTGGTTAATTAGACGTTGTAATGCTTCGCATAGTGCAATTTTACGGCATATACGTTCAACAGAAAATGTCGCTTCAACTGCTGCATTACTTCTAGTTCGACCATATTTAGAATTGATGGCTATTCTTCTCGGTAGGTTATGTCTCACATTCAATTATCGCGTATATTGTCATGGTGTACAGAGTTGAGTGTATATTGTAAAAGTAAAAGTAGATGAAGTCTTTTTAAATTATAGACTACAAAATGACTATTTTTGCAATTTTTTCAAGTGTTTGTTAGCAGGGATCTGATTGATCTCACTAAAAACCAATGAGTACTAGACAGCTATTTCGTCTGTAAATGGGACTCTCCAGTAGTGCGCACCTATGACCCCACCAGGGGTTGAATTCAGGACCTCCAGGCTACAGATTGAACTTGTGAAGCATTCAACTACTGGGACAGAATTTACTGAACCATCCACTGTTTGTTGGTTAGGGAAATCTGTAACTGTAAGCTCACCTTGTAACAACAAAAGATAAGGGCAAGGCAACAGATCGTTTATTGAGAAAATCAGCAGATATAGATTTTTGTGTACATTATTATTCGTTATTATTAACAGAGAAACAACGTCTTCTGATTGGTTGTTTTCCTGCCGAAGGTTATTCTATACTGCTTGTGGCCGTTTCTTAGAAGGTTAAGCCATATATCTGCAAATGGTGTTTGCAAACGCTAAGTTGCTGTGATTGGTTGTTGAGTTCCTCAAGGTTAAGCTTTGTTATTGTTTTTTCTCATGACCCTGATTCGGGACGTAAACATTAACGTCAATTGTTGTCTACAATTTCGGCTAGCAGCCAGCTCTCACCACAACCTTAGTCGTTTGAATAACCGGTATAGGTCTGTGTTGTTAATGCAGTGTAATTCATGATTGGCTCGCACTCTCTGTTTACAGCTGATTGTTCTAATCCAGTTGATGTACTTTAGCCGGGACATACTACAACTAGTAGCGATAACGTCTACATATTAAACCGATGCATGGACTTTTAATTCAGATATGTACTGGCATAGTGGCTTGTTGAAAAATAACTAAAAGATTTTACTGTGGTCGATATCATTAATTGAAAATTTTAATGGCTTAGACCAGTTAGGCTTCTTTTAATACATCCGACTCGAGAATTTTCTAAAACTCCTCATTTTTGTTTAGTTCGTGTTCACTAACCATGATAGGTATAGTTTTTGCTTAGATTCACCACCAATGGAAATAGTTTACGAATAAATTATTTTCTTTTCTCTTCCCATCTGTTTTTTACTTTGAAAATCTTAAATTCAAAAGAAATACTCCATTGTCTCTGGCTACTGGCCACGGAACTGACAGTGGACACCAATCCTCCAACAAAAGCTGAAGTATTGAATACAATCAAGCTACTAAAGGACAACCGGGAAGGCAGCTTAACCGGACGGAACTCCTACTGAAGAAGAACTAAAAACTCATCCAGAGACCGCAGCATATATGCCCACTCAACTATTGAAAAAAGTTTGGGAGAAAGGAAATGTATGCACTTACTAATTGGAAGAAAGACTGCCTTGTCAAACTACCAAAAAAGAGCGACTTAGGCTTCTTCAAGGACTGACGGGGAGTAATGCTGTTGTCCGCATCAGGCAAAACATTAATTCGAGTCATTCTGAAGAGACTAAAAGATTTACTTCACGCAAAACACCGCCCGAAACGTGCTAGATTCAGGGAAAGCGTATCATGTGTGTGGATCAAGTTGACACTACACATTATCATAGAACAAATCTTCGCCTCAACTTCACTGACACTGAAAGGGTCTTCGACGGCGTCGACCACGAAGTAATTTAATTACTACTTCAACACCATGAAGTGCCTCAAACCTTTATCAACTTCATTCAACGGCTAGGTATATGACAATGCCTCGTGGCAGCTGACCCACAATGGAAAACCCAGAGAAATCTTTAAAGTGAATACAGAGTAAGACAAGGCTGACTATCACCAATGATATTCCTAATTGTGGTGGACTGGCTCATGCATTAGACCGTAAAGAGCGAGAAGACAAAAATACGTTGGACTGGCAGGAAGACTCTAGAAGATCTGGACTTTGCTGACGACATATTTCTTATATTACACAAACTCGAAGGCCTACAGGTGAAAATCAAAAGGTCGTCAGAAGAAGTAGCCTGAGAAGACAGGACTTCAAGCGAACATCGGGGAAACAGGGGTGATGAAGATAGTCAACTAACTACCTAACAATAACAACAAGCATCAATCACAATCAATGAGAGAAATTTGAAAGAGGTAACTTCTTTCACTTATTTGAGCCGCATCATTTCGACTATAGACATACGACACAGATGGGGAAGTCAAAACTAGAATCGAAAGGGTTTGGAATTAGTTTGAAAATTTACTGCATCCGGGCTTAGGACCAGCTGGGAAACTCGTGAAGTAGTGAACAGTTGTCTTGGCTCCATATTGAAGATCCTATGACATGTGGGGGAAGGATTAGCAACAAGAAACTCTGGTTAGGAACCAATCGATAACCTGTTGCTCAACAAATATGCCGGAGTAAGTGAACATGGATCGGACACACGCTTAGAGGACCGTTGAATTACATCGTGCGCCATGTGACGTCTCGAGTGGGATTTGAATGAGAAAATACGAGTTGGGCATCCGAAGGTGACATGAAGGCGGTCGTGGAGCCAGCTAAAATTGACTGAAGCAAACAGGATTAAATGAGGACATGCTGTTGAATCCCTATGTTCCACTCGGAACCTAAGGGACTAATAATAGTAATAATATTGTGAATATTATTAATTCTCTGTATTAACTCGATGTATTTTTATTTATACAACAGGTGGTTATCGATCAGCACTACAACATAATGAAAGCTCTTCATCAGTCAATCTTGTACCAATTAATTCAGTGAATAATGATACTTCATCAAAAAGTAAATTCGACCAACCTTGTATTGGTGGGTGGTTTTTTGATCGTGCAGCTTTTGTTGTTTCTTGTGGACGAGAATTACAACCATATCTAACAGAACTTTTAAATTCTCAAATGGTCATTCAAGTAAGTGTACTGTAGTAATCTCTTTTTCTCTCTTTTTTTGCTTTTTGAAAACATCCGGATCATAGATCCGATTTTATAAGTAATGTTCATCTGTTATCCATTGTACTTCACCGTTGCTAGCTTTAAATAAATGCTTAATAGTGGACATCGAAGGAAACTCCATTGTCATGTAATAAAGTTCTTCCTTGGCATTTTTTAAAGTACTACTTTTTATCAAAACCATCTTGAAAACCACTCAGAACTTAAGAATACTTCACGGTTGTATCCTTTTAGTTTAAAATTCCCTGGTGATGCTCACTTACCACACTCCCTTCGTAATGAAGCAGAGAAATGCCATATCCTACAATGAACAACATGTCATCATTTTGGCGCTAAGTACTAATCCATATATCATATTACAATAATTGTTCCTTGGGGTCCGAGTGGAACAGGGTGCTTCAACAGAATATCTCCACTTTGTCCTCTTCTCAGCTGGTTCCACGATTGTCAATAAGCTTCTGTCTCCTCCTCACAGGATCTTCTCCATTTCACCTTCGGACACCCCATTTGTCGTTTCTGACTCGAGCGATGGCCTGGCGCTCGATTTCACTCAACGGTGCTCTCGGCGTGTGTCCAATCCACATTCCTTTTTTCTTCAAAATATTTTTTGGGCAGTAGGTTCCTGATTGGTTCGTTTCCAGAGTTTTTTGCTGGTAATTCTTTCTGGTCACCCATCTGATATTCAGTGTGGTGTCAGCGACGGTATCTATTGATAAAAGTTTGCAGTAACTAGTTGGAAATGCTTTTCGTGACCTGCCAAGTTTCTGACCTATATAGAAGAACTGACTGACTTAACATTGGAGTTGAAAATCCGAATCTTGTTCTTTATGCTGAGTGCAGAAGATTTCCAGACTGGTTTCAGTCTGATGAAGGCGTATCTTGCCTTTCCGATTCTGGCTGACTTTGACGTCTCCATCCGTTCCGCCTATAGTTCAAACGATGTTTCCTAGATGGGTGAAGCAAGTAAAATATTTCAAATTTATCTCTTCGATAGTGATTGGTTGGTCGCCGGATATCTTCATCACTCTCCATATTCTCTAGCTTCGCGTGGAGTCCTATCTTCGCCTCTTCTTCAGCCAGTTTGTTGGTTTTAGCCTATAAGTCTTCGAGTTTGTGTGACATTAAGCATAAATTATCTGCGAATTGCAGGTCTTCTAGAGTCCACTGTTTCATTTCTGTAAAACTGTGACATTTTGGTTTCTGAGGTTTTAACTGTAACCCAAAGTTTTATTTTTTGAAAGTTCCCCAAATTCTTCGATCTGTGACCACGGATGAAGTAGGATTGACACTACAGTGTACAAATTCGTGTTTTTTTATTCCTGTACGTTCCATTGGAGGCTTGAAGTTTCTGTAGCAGTGGTGCTGATTTTTTCGGGATGGGGTTGCTAGCGCCATGCCCAACCTTTCCTCGTTGCCAGTCTTGTTGCTGGCTTAGCAAGGTAAGGGAGTGCGTTGGTGGTCGGGAATCGAACACCGGACCACATATGTCGTGGTTGGCGAATATTCTACCCCTATGCCACCGACGCACTGTAAATTCGTATTGAGTCTCTGATTTACATTTTTATTGTGACATAATTCTGTGATAATCAATAGTTTCTCTCTTATTGACTCTTTGAAGACACTCAGTGCTTTAAGCCTTCATAGGAGCGGCGTACTCCAACTGTGTCGTATTTCACAGCACTGGCGATTTCGAAGTCTTATTATAGGCTGTTTTATGGTTGAAGGTACAGTTTACTTCAACAAACTATAAATATGAAACAAAAAGTTCATAAGTGTTTAAAGCGGAAATTCTTCAAATATCCAGGTGCACAAAGAAACCCAACTGTATTTCGGTGCTAGGTGTTAGTCGGTAATTAAGAATATGGAGATGACATACGAAAAAATGTATTGTTTGTTGTTTCTATATGTCACAGCTGATATAATACTAGAATCGAATTCGTTCCAACTGGATACTTCAACACACGTCAATATACTACTGATCACCCTAATGCTATTCCCAGACTAGGATAATACAAAAGACAGATTTCGATGACAACGATTTATTCGTCCAAGAAAAACAAGATATTTTCAAGACTTAGTTTGTAGCGGTTTAGTTCGTTTCAAATTTCAACACGCATTGATGTCAGTTAGAGGATCGTTGAAAACTAGTACTGGAGTATTTGACGGCTGTTTCGTCCTAGTTTTCGACCCATCATCGGCACGCTCCCACCGCCAGGGTTCGAACCCAGGATCTTCTGGTTACAAGTCAAGCTCATAGCCCTTCCAACCACTGGGACTCTATCCAACGGCTCATGGATTCCAGATTCTACCAATTCGCAACTGACCATTAGATAATGCTATCAGAGGCGAGTATTTGTCCTCATTTCCGACCTGGTGGTAGACCTCGCCAGTCACGACTTCTCAATAGAAAGATTTCCAGGCAACTTGGTCATGTAACCAGTCACTATTGAGTGAATTATGACCAGAAATCAATGCTAATTATATGACTATTTCACATGACCATCAAGCTTGCTGGTTTAAAATATAAAAAAGCTATGTTTTTGAACGTTTAGAGCCTATATTAATAAAAATATATGTAACGCGAACTTTAATTTTAGGTTAGGGTCAAATGTCTGGTATACAGATCACATGAGAAACTTTGACGCAAATATCTCTACATTTGTCCTAATTCCTTCCCCTTTTAAAAATAAGTTTTCGTTTGGTTAACTACTTAAAGATGCTTAGTGCTTTGTTGCACTTTCTGCTATCTTCTTACTGCGTCTGAATGTTGCTCACATGGTTTTTTTTAAAAATATTTGGTCCTTGATATAATTTTGTTTCCATGAATAGTGAATTTTCCAGAAATCAATTACTGACGTTATCCGAATCTTCTCATTTAATGCTGTGGTTTACATGTCTTACTCACAGCACTTTGCTTTAAATGCTAACTGTCCTAGTTTCTTCTTTTGCATTGTGACTATCTGGATTAGATTACTAAGCTTGAAGTGGTAGATAAAAAACTGAAACTTGCTGTGTACCAACGGAAGTTCGCCGATCATACAGTATCTTTTCATACCTAATGACTACTTTTTATAGTGTGTGCTACAGAAATCTTGATGAGCTTATCAACTCTACCAAAAATAACTTCAATTGCTAGACTTTCATCATGACAAACGACATCAGCCACCAAGAGAGAGAGAGAGAGGTTATTGAAAACCAACACAGGGCGCCGGACAGCTACTTCGTCCTAGTGCTTGCGACTCCTCAGCACTACTCACCTACCAACCCACCAGAGATTGGGTGCGGCGACATTCAGCCAATTGCCCGACTGGAATTCAATAACCGTTGAATTCTACTGTTATCAAGGTTAGGTGGGGTTGCTCATTGAAGGCAGTGACGAGGGTAGCGCTACCTGACGAGTTGACAGTGTTGGGATTTCCGGGGTCATTGAATTTCAGCCCTGCAAGTGGCTGAATGGTTAACGAGCTTAGTCTTGTAAGCTGAAGGTCCCAGGTTGAATCCCTGTCAAGGTCTCGTGATGAAGAGTCCCTAAGTATTAGGACGAAACAGCTGTTCTGTGCTCTCCTGTTGGTTTTTAATGCTCTCTCTCTCTCTAACTGATGGTTGGTTGGCGTGTTGTAAACCTGACAACTGAGATTAATTCAAAATCCTCACAGATCTGATCTCCAAGAGTAGTCACATTGTCTCTAGTTAATGATGTGTATTATGAGATTATGTATGACATTTCAAGATGTATGTGTATTTACATAACATTCTGCAATGTATGTACTTTTACATATTAATATAGTTTATAGTTAAATTATTTTGTTTAGTCTTTTTTGTGTTTATAAGTGTTAACAGTTAGTTAACTTGTGATAATTTTAAAGTATACAGTTATAATATTGCATTTGTGTTGTAATTAAACTGGATTCATGCATACTAAATGGCATAAATTTATCAGTTTTATGAAATAGAATTAGTCGTAGAAATAATTGATTTAGCTGTATTTGAAGAAAAAAGGTCTTTGATTCTATGCGTTGAATGTTTCCGTCAACTAATTAAATTCTTTTAAGGGTAGAATTATGACAGTGCCGCGTGTCAGGTGATCCACAATGGAAAACTCAGCTAGGCGTTCGAAGTGAATACAGGTTGGTTGCCTATCAGTACCGATAATATTCTTAATTGTGGTGAACTGCATTATGCGGAAGACTGTGCGTTAGAAGAGAGAAGACAGAAATACGCTGGACGACCGATAAGAAGGCTCTAGAAGATCTGGATTTCGCGCGTGCATGACTTATGTCTAATGTGCCACAAACTCAAAGACTTTCAGGCGAAAAGCAACAAACTTGCAGAAGGGGCTGGCTGGCAGCGAATACAGGACTCCAGGTGAACATAGAGAAGACGGAGGTGATGAAGATTGCTGACCAACAGCAACAATGACCAACACCAATCACTATCAAAGGTGGAGATTTGACAGAGGTTACTTTCTGCCTTCACTTATCTGGTCAGAAGGAACACGGTTTCAACCACAGACCGGCGGACCGGATGAAGATTTCAAAGTAGGCCAGGACCGGAAGGGTTAGTCACGCCTTCATCACTCTGAAATGAGTTTGGGAATCTTCTGCACTGAGAAGAAGCATAAACAACAAGATTCAGATTTGCAACAACAATGTTAAGCTAGTCGATTCTTCTATATGTGGGTCAGAACCGTGGCCTGAGCGTCACAGAAAGCATTTTTCCAATAGTCAACTGCAGACTTTTATCAAAAGCTGCCTTCAATGGCTCCATATTGAAGATCTGACGGCCAGTCAAAAGAAGATAGAAACAACAGGAAACTCTGGCAACAAACCAACCAAACACCGATCGCTCAACAAGTATACAAAAGAAAATGGAGTTGGATTGAGAATACATTGAAGACACCATGAAATACAATCGCGCGCCAGGCCATTCGGTGGAATGCTACTGGGAAATGACGAGTTGAGTGTAGGTCCGAGGATGATATGTAGGAGGCCGTGTGAGAAGAAGATGAAAGATTATGGTCAGTTGTGGATCCAGCTTAAGAGGACAGCAAAAAGTAGAGCAAAGTGGAAATGTTGTTGTTGAAGCCCTATGTTCCACTCGGAACTCAATGGATTAATATTAATAAAAATAATAATTATTATTCTGACTTTAATGACCACTTTCAATGAATTAAAATGTCTTAATAGATTCCGACAGGCATGCAACTGTAGAAACTTGTCAGTTGACCATACCATGTGGGTTTCTTACGGACTCTGACAACTTAAGGTTCTGTCGGGTCTTCTTTTTAGTTCCACATTGAGAAAGTGGATTTTGGATTCGTTTCCCATTTCAAAATTAAGTTTTATTGGCGGACTACAGCGGTTAAAAATCTGATTGACGCAAATCATCCGGGAAATCCGAACCTGTTATAGTCTTCTTGTCGGTCCACACTCGTATCTGCGGTGCTCCGCATAATCCAGTCTACTACAATTAAAAATATGAACAGTGACAGTTTTCAGCCTTATCTTTCTCCTGTATCCATTTCAACAGCTGCGTTGTGAACTGCTTGACATTCGACATTGTCATATAAGGCTGTTGAATGAGGTTGGTAAAGATCTAGGACACTGCAGTCCATAGTGTTGGCGTAGTTTTCAAATTACTTCACGGTTAACACTGCCTGTTGAAGGCTTTTTCGAATTGGGGTAGAGTAAGGTTTGACTGCCGTTCTATACCCTCTGGATTAAATAAAATTACTAGGCAAATAGTAGCGTGTAGCAAGGTGAGAATTTTGATGAGATTGTGACTACAGCCTTTTTTTTCTCTCTACATTTCTTAAATTAATTTTAATAAATTTTTACAATTGCTCGTGTTTTTTTCTTCTTCGGAATTTATAGTTTTTTGAATCACGTGTGGCAGTTTTAAATTCCAATTTGTCTGTTATTCCACCTGATGACTTTGAAGACACTATTGATCATGTTTCTCTTCCACGACGGTCTGGGGGATTTGCTGATTTGCTAAATTTCGGTCGGAGTGAATTTGACAAAATAACTCGAAAGGTGAGTGAGTTTCTCTGAAAAAAATTCTTTGTATGATCTAGTGTACGTTATAATCGAATTCCCCCCCCCTTCTTGTGCACTATCATAGTAATGAATTCGCTCTCTAAACTACATGGTTACAATGTCTAGACACTTATGCCAGAAGATAATCAAAAAACTGGTGTTTCGTCCAATTTTCAACTATTATCAACTGAAAATTTCATCACCTCTGAGAATTTGTCACTAATCTCTTCTTTATTATGTCAAGCTTCACGACGGGTTGAAATCAGTTAGAAAACCACTGAAAACCACCGGGGAGCACTGGACAGCTGTTTCTCCCTGGTTTGGGACTCATCGCCATTACGAACCCATTGTCAGGCTTCGAACTCAGGCTATAGGTCAAGCTCGTAGATCACCATTCAGCCACTGCAACCTGATCTAATGCCTCATGAATTCCAGCTTCTACCGATTCGTGATTATCTATTTGTCTAACCTATTTCGATAGCTACTTCACATAACAGTTATCAGATATTGGATAAACCAGCCACTGTTTTTTTTGCTTCACTGAAATTATTGGCTGTTCTGCTTGTGGAATTACTACCCTACGAGCTAACACTGACTAGATTTCTACAATGAACAATAGTCTATTTGCATAAAACTGTATACTATACTGATTGATTGTGATGACTAGTTGCATACCACCTGCAGTGCCCTGTGAGCTTAGTCGGACAGGGTGCACTGAGAATGAACTCGGCCCCAATTGAGCGAAACTACTGTTTGGTGTTTAGGTCTCCTCAATCTTGCTTATTAGCAAGCACTACTTGGTCGAGGAAGGCGATGGCTAGGGATGCATGCGTAACATATGTACAAACCATCTCGGTCAATGTAGCTTTACAGCCTCGTCGATTGGTTTCCTCTCCCTACCTAGCATTCGACCGAAGCCTAACATCATTGAATACATTGAATACCTTGAGCTGCAATATACGAATGTTTGGAGTGCAATTCGCTCCCGCCAAATGTAAGATGATGGTACAGGACTGGGCTACTCTGACTCCTAGCTTAGAAATAGGCAGTGAAGTGTTTGGTGGAGCGTGTTGACCACTTCACTTATTTGGAGAGTTGCATCAGCCAACGCCAGTGGGGTTGATCGCTGACGAAATCTCAGCTGAGTGCGGATACAGAAGGCTAGTTTCGCATATGCCAGTTTACGCCGTCTCTGGCGTAGACGTGATATCCAGATATCGACCAAAATGTGGATGTACTACTCATCAGTCCGCTCCGTCCTCTATTATGGCCAGCTGTGAGACCTGGCCATTGAGAGTTGAAGACATGAAAAGTCTAGCTGTCATTGATCCTAGGTGCCTGCCTTCTATCTCCCGTTTGAAGTGGTATAATAGGGTGAGCAATATTGATGTTAGGCCTCGTTGAGTTCTAGGTAAGGAGGGGAAATCAATAGACGAGGCTGTGAAGTTACATCGATTGAATGAGATGGTTAGGCATGCATGCCTAGTCATCGCCTTCCTCTACCGACGGGTAATGTTAGCTGATATATGGTCAGGCTGGAAAAGAGCTAGCGATGGTCAAACCAAAACATGGCTTCATCAGTCAATGAAATCCACAACAGTTAGTTTAAGCCAGTCAGTGACGTAGGAAGGTATAGACTTCCAGACTGGTTGAGGTCCTTGAGACGGTAAAAACCAATGGTCGTTTTGTCTCATATCCCTGTCTACTGTCTCTATTATGCATTTCTTCTCCTTTCTTCTCTTGCTTTGTGTGCTGAGTGAAGTGTGACGACTTGAACTGCCACACATCGGTGCAAAGTTCTATGTCAAAAACAGACAGACAGACTAGGTGGTCGATAAGAGTGGTAAACAACTAACCATCACATTTAGTCAGTGAATATGCTTGCTTTCTTGTTTACCATTTCTGGTATCAAGTAGATCAGATATTATGATCTAAATAATCTCAACTTTCAAAGTAAACTATGCTGAAATTTCACTACTCGAACTGTGTAGATTGGCTACGATTGGCTAACCTATTTGTGAATTGTGGATTTGATTTACTAACAGTAGTCATCTTTGAATTATGAAATTTGTGAGGATTTTTGGATGAATTTCGATTGCTGGATCGCTAGATTTCGTCATGAAACAACATTTGTTGGAGAGGTCATTAAAAACCAATAGGGGAGTACTGGAGAGCTCTTCCATCGTATTATTGTGACTCTTCATCAGTGCCTACCCATGATCCCATCAGATATCGAACCCAAGGGTCTTCAAGCTACGAGACCAACCTCTTTGACCATTTAGCCACATGGACTTTCATATCATTCTGAGCAGTAAATCAGAACAATAGTTTTGTAATCCAGAACTAGAGTTTTATTACTTCAGCATTGTATGAAGGAATTGAAAATCTGTTGATCGCTGGTATACTCCATACTCGTGAGTACTTGTCATGCTGTGAATGCAATAGAACAGGAAGTGAATAGTTCAATATTTTTTTTAAAGAAGTACTTTTATGCTTTAAGGATACTATGTATCTTTTCAACTGAACAAAATTGATTATTTCTATCCTGTTATTATAAAATAAAGCAAATATTGTGAACTAAACTACAAAAATTATTAGTAGTGATAAGTGGGATTAGTGGATTGAAAGTGTAGGGGACTGACTGACTGACTTACCATTATTCACAAAAAGTAAATAGATTATTATTACCTCAGGTTGCTACCATTCAGTTAATATTTGATGACAACAACCGCTGATCCAGTTCTTCTGAAGGAAACCAGATGTTATCTAGGGGTAATTCTCAATGGGATCTAAAATGCGCGTCTCGTCCCATTCTAGACTCGTCAACTCTGTGTAACTGCATTCCCCAGTGAATGATGGTGTTCCCATGGAGGCTTGAATCCAGTATCCATCGTTTTAAACACCTATATACACAATATAAGAGCTGACTAACATAGTATTTTGCTACTTCTGGCATTGTAAGTAGTTTACCGGGTGTAGGAAGAACCGCGTTAGGCAGTTAATTGTCAGTAAGGTGTGATTCTAGATTTCTGTCCTATGGGAAAAATTGGCGCATTAAATTAATTTCACCACTTAAGGATACATATTTTCTTGCTGTGTATATCATTCTACATTATATCCATGACTAGTGAGAATAACAGTGAGAACTTGATTAACGTCCATCGATTCTTTATAAACAAAATTCTTATTGAATATTAATGTAGTTCTCATTAGGAACTCAATGAATTCGCCCAGTCATCTAATATCTACCTGTATGGGATGTAGGCATCGGTCCTGCAACAGTAATTAAATTTACAAGAAGTTGTCTGTAATCTGAAAGTCGATAAAGCAGCAGGAACTAGTGGAATGACTCCAGAGGTTTTTATGGACGGTGGTGACGAACTGTTTTCTGAGTTAAGTAAGATATTAGGTGAGGCCTTGAGAGATAGTCATGTTAGCCTAGTATAAATCATTGATTATTCCAGTTTATAAGCCTTCGTGTGATAATCTTGGGGATGGGTGGGTAAGCTTGAATAACATAACGTCTAAAGCTGTAATTTCAAAAATTATACATGTATTGGGTGTGCTCTTGAGAGATAAACCCGGGGAAACAAGGTACGCTTTTGGCTTGCATTGATCATATCTTCACCGTTCGATAGATTCCGCAGTATAAGCATACTAAACGGCCTCCAATACTTACTATATTTGTCGACTTGAAGGAGGCGTTTGACTTCGTTGACCAGCGAGTGCTATGACAATGTTTGACCGTGAATGAAGTGATAAGAATGCAGCCATCCCTACATTGTTGTTTAATTCAATCATATGTGACCCTAATCTACTTTAGTAACTTAATGATTGACTTGCTAGCAGGGAAAAGTCTTGATGATTTAGATTATGCGGATAATATAATATTTCTTCGTGAAGATGCTGACAAAATACTGAGTTTTCTGAACACCTTGAGCAGAAATCTTGGAATTTTTCGGAAGCATCTGTCTCCTATCAATCACATGTAAATTGATATTGAGGGACTGGTCCAAAACATCTTCCAGTTTAAAGATATGTATGCAGTCGAGAGGTAGAGCGTGTTGATCGTTGTTGACTTATTTGGATAGTTGCACCAATTCTATTGGAGTGTTGGGTGACGAAATTATTTCATGGAGGATTTCATCATGAGCTGACATAAGTTAGAGAACCACTGGAAAACCTGGGAGTACTGGATAGCAGTTTCGAATCCAGGACCTTCTGGTTACAAGGCAAGCGACTTCGTAGACCATTGAGTCACTGGGACCCGATCCAATAGTTCTTGAATTCTAACTTCTGCCGATTCACGGCACAGCGCGACCATTTCGCAATGTCTTCTTCGATGAGTTACTGCCTCATCTTCGACCTGCTGTACCCTACTGGTCATGGCTTACCACTAGAAGTACTCCCAGGTTTTCCACTGGTTCTCTAACTGATGTCAGCTCATGATGAAATCCTCCAAACAATCAAACAAAATCCCTACAAAACCAATACTTGGAAATTATTTCAGCCTGTTTCAACTTACATCAGCTTTAGTATAGAAGTGATACCCGGTTTTCGATCATCAGACGTGTGTACTGCTCAGAAGTTCTGTCGTTCTGTCTTTAAGACTGTGAGATATATCGTTGAAAGTGAAGGGATCTGAAGAGGCTAGCTGTCTTTGACGATGCATGTCATAAGTGGTATAATGTGTTGAGTATTACTGAGGATGGATATATGGTTCTAAGTCAAGAAGGAAAGCCAATCGATGCGTTTGTGAAGTTACGCCGACTGAGATTGCTAGGAAACGTGTTAAGCATACCGAGCCACCGACAACTCCCCCTCTACCACCCCTCGCCTTGTCAAGCAATGTTAACTAACATCGGATTAGGTTGGAAGAGAGATAACAGCGGTTAAACCGTAATCTGAAATCAGTCCATGAAGTCTTTGTTGGTCAGTTTGAGTCATATAGGGAGGTGTAGACTGCCTCGTTGGGTCCTGGGGATGTTAAAAACCAATGGCTTGAGACTTTTGTTGAAAAATCTAAAGTCTTTCTCTGTATGAACTGTCAGATCCATGCTACTCATGCTTCTTTATGTAGTTATTCTTCCTCTTGTACATTTCTGCCTATTCTAGATCGTTTGAAATCTTTCTTTCCTCTATCTTCATGTTTTATAAATCAGGGATGGAGGTCGCAGCTTGTATTGCTGCACTTCTGTGCAAATTTTTGTTGAAATTCAAGCTGTCATTAAAAATAACTACTTTGATAATCGATTTCTTAAATTTCTAGCAAAATGTTGTGGCTATTGTGTGTATGTGTGTGCAATTGATTTTTTTTTATATTAAGACATCGGCTCACAGATTAAATTCATCAACAATAGCAGCAGTATATTATAATTGCTAATGAACACGAGTGTTATTTTTAGTACTCAAGTCTACCTTTTTCACATAACTATGACATCAGCTCTAGGGTGTTATCTTAAAGAATATATAATTAATTATAATTATGTAATATACCTGAGTCATTGTTTTGTGCGATGATTCATTGTTTGTTTATCTCTAAACATTCTTGTAGAATGCAGAATATGTTTTCTGTGTCTTCTGCAATCTAAGGTATCGATCAAGCATCGAATGGTGGTCATCACTTAGATGCATGAAACTCTATATTTCATCTTTTCTTTTTTACTTAATACAAACACTTGTCACAATTTCAAACTTCACTTGACCAGTTACAAATTAGACGCTATTGCTGTTATCAATTTTAAGTCAGCAAAATATAAATTCTATATAAATTACATTCTATATTATAGTGTTATTGGTTAAATTATCATATTTTTTAATGTTATTTATTGCTGATACATGATTTTAAAAGGTTTATAAGCAAAACTAAACGACAGTTATGACAAAGAGAGAATTGGTGAGAAAATTCCAGAATTATTCTCTAGTTAGGCGTTAGAATGCAGTGAATAATACACACTCAACGATGTCTGGGAATGTAATTAGAATTTAATTTGTCGATGGTGACTAGCAGTGGAATTCAGGGTGCACATTTCGTCCTATTTGGGACTCGTCAACTGGGTGTATCTGCATTCCCCAGAGAGAAATGATGCTCCTGGATTCCACTGCTAGTCACCATCCACCAACTAACTTGTAATTACATCCCCAGACATCGTTGAAGCATCTGCACTAGAAGCCGATATTTCAACCGGAGACTGAGCATTTGGGTCCAATCAATCGATGGGAAAATCTAAAATAATTGAATTAAATAATTAATATGACCCGTTGCACAAGAGGTGGTCAGCTCTCATGGCCCAAGTGGTCTAGTGGATAACGCTTTGACGTTTGGAACTATGGGCACTGGGTTCGAGCCTCGGTGGGAACATCATCACTCAGTGACTAGGGAATGCAGGTACATTCAGTTAGCTGACGAGTCCCAAATAGGACGAAATGCCCGTTGTCCTGGATTCCACTACTAACCATCATCCACCAATTAAATTCTAATAACACACACTGGTGAATACTATTTATAGGTTATTGATATACGTATAAAACGTTGGTACTGTGGTAGAGTGTAACTGCATTATGGATGAGATTTTATTTTGATGAATCACACAGTGTTATACAGTATAATATTAACTGATGACCATATTTTGAGCACAATTTATTGCTCATAATCATATCAAGGCACCACGTACACAACTTTCATGCTTCATTTATATACGTGAGTGAAATTGATGATTAGACATTTGAATCAAAATCAACCTAGGATAATGTACATTCAGAAATAATAATATGAGTGTTATTGATCAATTACAATCAGATGGGAAATAAGACTAGTAGCAAAAGCTTTATTTGATCTAATCCACAATGCTCAAACTTTTTACTGATATTAGTAGCAAAAGCCTTTTGATAGCTGTTTACGAAAACAGCTATCCGAATATCGCTTTTGAAATAAGAGATTTCAGTGCCAGTATCTTTTTCAGAGCTACATGAACCTGTTTATCAGTGTTCTTTATTTTCAAGTACGTGAAAGGCCACTTCTCATTAAAGTTCTTCAGCGAATTTGCAGTTCTGTACACAACAGGATGGTGTAGTCTTAAAGGAACTGAACAAGTTACTGAGGTTTCCTTGTCAAATTTGTTTTAGGTGAATACAAAAACTCACTTTTAAAAGAAACTCTTGTAGAAGTATGGGTGTTGGATGAAATCACATATCTCCCAGATCTTTTTCAATGAAACAATACGCACTCGATCATAATGGTGCCATCCTCTCTGGCTTACTAGAACGTGAACAAACTCACTCGAGGACTATATCACTACTGTCACTTAGTAGAAAAATTATGTTGGGAGAGAAAGGTTAAATAATAGTCTTATGTCTATAGCAACAGAAATGGTGTTTCCTCCTTGTGTCTTGAAAAAATATCGTTTCAACTACAGGTTGTCAAAACCAGAATTCAAAGGAAAAGACAGACCTTCATCACTTTGAAATCAGTTTGAAAATCTTCTGAACTCTGAATTTCTAAACGCTAATCTAAGTCAGTCAGTTATTCTATATGGTTCAGAAACTTTCCACATATGTCACAAAAACCATTTCCAACAGGCTACTGCAAACTTTTATCAGTGTCTGCCTTGGCTGGCTCCATACTGAAGATCAAATGGCTGGCTTGCCAGAAAGAATAATCAACAAGAAATTCTTGGAGGCAATAAACCAATCAAGAGCCTATCTCTCAACAAATATGCTGAAGAAAGTGGTGATGAATCGAATAAACACTGAAGATACTGCAGGGCGACATCACGTATACCAAGGCATGCCTCGAGTGGAACACAAGTGAGAAAATGACCAATCGAACGTCCTAGTGTGATATGCAGGAAGTCGTGTGAGGGGAAGATGAGACATTATGGTTAATCATGACGCTGGATGAAAAGGATCACAGAAAATGGAACAAAATGGAGATGTTTTGTTGAAGCCGTATGTTCCATTCGGAACTCAGGGATATAACAGTAATAATATATACTCTGGAGAACTTAAGTAATCAGTAAATCCATATTTTATATAAATGTAACTATAAGAAATTATTTCTGTTTACTATGCCTAATAGTTACAACTCTACGCATCATCATCGAACAAAGCGTAGAGTGACAGTTAAATCTGCGCCTCAACTTCATCGACTTCGAATAGGCCCTTCGACAAGCAACGTTGACCGAGAAGTAATTTAGAAACTGCTTCAACACTATGGTGTTCGGTACCCAGGTCTTTATCAACCTCATTTAACAGCTGGCTATATGACAATGACATGTGTTAAGTGATCCATAACGGAAAACTCAGCGAGGCGTTCGAAGTGAATGTAGGAGTAAGACAAGGCTGGTTGCCTATCAGTACCGATGATACTCTTAATTGTGGTGGACTGGATTATGCGTCAGACTGTGCACAGGGAGTGAGAAGACAGGAATACACTGGACCACCGATAAAAAGATTCTCGAAGATCTGGATTTCGCGCGTGGATGACGTATGTCTAGTGTCACGCAAACTCTAAGACTTGCAAGCGGAAACCAACAAAATGGCTGAAGAGGCAACGAAAACAGGACTCCGGGTGAACACAGAGAAGACGGAGGTGATGAAAATAACCAACCACCACCACCACCAACAGCAACAAACAACCAACACTAATCACCATCAACGGGAGGGATTTGATAGAGGCAGTCACTGCAGGCTGGCGGAACAGATGAAGATGTCAAAGCCAGTCATAATCGGAAAAGCAAAATACGCCTTCATCAACCTGAAACCAGTTTGGAAATCTTCTACACTCAGTCAGCATAAAGAAAAAGATTCACATTTTCAACACCAATGCCAAGTCAGTCAATTCTTCTATGCGGGGCCAGAAACTTGACACACGTGTCACGAAAAGGATTTCGAATAGGCTACTTCAGACTTGCTGCTGGATTCACTGACTCCATACTGAAGATCAAATTGCCAGAAAGAATAAGCGACAATAAACAATGTGAACAAACCAACCAAGAGCCGATCGCTCAAAAAATGTGTAGTAGAAATTGGAGATGGATTGGGCATACGTTTAGGAGACAGTTGAATGACATCGCGCGCAATGCAGGCCATCGATCGAGTAGAACCGGAATGGGTAACTACGAGTGAGTCTTCGGTGCGAGGGTGATTTCAAGGAGATCGTGTGAGTTGAAGGGGGGGAGGTGAGAGATTATGGGCAATCGTGTGGGGTTATAGAGCAGAAGAAGACAAGAGAAAATAGAAGTTCTATTTTTTTGAAGCCCTATGTTCCACTGGGAACCCAAATGAATAACGTTAATTATAATAATAATGCCTAATGGTTCGAACTAGGCTGAATTGTGTCCACGCTTTTGTCTGATTCAGAGAAATGATGAGTGAGAGGGAGGGAATCATCAACTTTCACAAACTCACCTTTTACTATCAAACTTATAGGGGATTAGCATCATTGTACATATGTGCAACTCGTTGTTTAGTAGTCTGAAATCCAGTACGGTTTGCTTTATTGAGAAAAACGGCTAATGTAATTTGTAGAAAGAAATAAATACACTTGATTGAGGGTAAAAAATCGTTGGGATGGAATGTGGTTTTTTTTAGCTTTATTTAATAAGGATATGATCAGTTCCAAGTTTAACCACAGATTGATATCAGTTAAAGAACAGTTGAAAACCAGCAGAGAGTACTGGTCTATTGTTTTGTCCCCGTTTGGGTTTCCTCATCACTGCTCGCCTGTGAGTCAACCGGTGTTGAATCTAGGACCTTCAGGTAACAATACGAGCGCGTTGACCACTGAGCCACTGCGATGGCCCATCAATTCTAACTGCTATTAATAGTCTCTAGCTTTTTTGATTAAATGTAAGTATACTACTAATATACTGTTAGCATACTACTCAATTTAATGTTTTTAGTAGAACATACCACTGTCCATTTTGTTTGCACACCAATTTAGTCACTAATATCCTAAATCTAGTCCTTTGTTTGTTCATAACTGACTTGACTGATGGAATTCAGTTTGCACTAAACGAGCAACTAAGATGCCTGGCGTTAGTTACTGCCTGTTTCCTAACAAAGTATCCAATACGATCCTTGCTGTGATCTGGCGAACTGACTGGGCAGTAATATTAAAATTCGGCAATCACGAATACGCTTGACTACACCAACAACATTATATTTCAGCTACCTGTTTCCCCATGGCGTATGCCCAGGAGATGATCATAAGTGCATATATGCATAGCCAAGGACATAAGTGTGAGCGTGGATATCCAGACTGACTTTGATTACAATATCACCACAATCATGTGACTTGTTATTGTTTGATTGCAGCATTTGGTGACACGAGTTCGAGTCTCAGAGAGGAAGGGACATGAGTTATTCCTTCAAGACTTGAAATACGCCTTGCTAACTGATTGGCTGGTGAGTGCCAACAAGAACACGAAATCTAGGTTTAAAGCTAGACTTCCTTCCGGTTGCTTCCAACCTCTGTCCATACAGTCAATACTAGTTTAGTCTTTTTGAATAAAGAATCCACCACAAAGCATGTGACAGTCGAAATATGTTGATCAAAAAGTATCTTATATGTGACACAATCGATCATACTTATAATCATCCATCATACATAGTTGACTACTTACTGGCTACTTTTGTTTCAAATAATTGTGTGAATAACAACTTGTGATTATCACCTTCACTTTTTTTTGTATGTGTCATATTTCGCCTTGTCTTATTATGTATGACACGAGTAGTATGTGTGTGTGTT